ACATATTAGAAACCTTTCAGTGATATTGTTATTACAAAGTTGGAGTCTTCGTAAATCACAACACAAATGATTATTAGTACACTGTGGAACGTGCTTAAATGATCATGTTGAAAAATATACTCAACACCACAAATATAAATTAAATATTAAGTATTTATTGAAAATAGTTTGAAGTTTGTATTTTTTAACTACAAAATATTTTCTGATTTTAAAAGAAAAAGTTTTGTGTATATAATATAATAGATACTATAATACTGAACAAAATCTTAACATCAAATTAAGACTATTTTGGTTGTATTTTATGATAGTATCAATTATACGTTTTTTTGATATAACTTTATAACTGTTGTGTATATAAATGAATGTATAGTTAAGACTCTAGTGAACGGTGCGCCGCCCTTCCCGAGCCCCCCGTCGGATAAGTTGTATCCGTTGTTTGACATCTTCTGTCTGAACGAAACTGAGGCCACAATAACGACTGGAGTGGACGTTAAGACCATCGATGACGGGAAGAAGTCGTGTCGGGTCTTATTGGAGAGAGGATGTGGATCTGTGATCCTTACTATGGGATCCAATGGCGCTATTTATATGGACTCAACCGTTCACTTTCATGTGGCCGTCCAGGAAAAGGTCACTCCAGTTGACACAACGGTACGAAAGCATGTCTTTAAATATTAATCATATCTCGAATGCAATCATTTATATCGACTGAATCGTTGGTCAAAACCTGTCCTAAAAGGGACTCAGATTTGAAGTAAAGATGTAATGAAATAGAGTAGCAATTAATCAAAAATGCATTTCGCGATAAGAATTGTGTTTAATGTTGAAAATGATTCGCTAATAAAAAACATAATAAATAGTGAAATAGAAAACCATTAAAAGTAGATGTTTTTCAATACAATAGCCGTTCGCACAATACATCCGACAAAACATTTATTCCAATAAAATGTCAGACATTAGACATTAGCTATAAAAATGACATGATTTTCAGTTATTAAGTTCAGTGGGCGAGAGATGTATTATGTGATGATTTTGAATACACTCCGAAGTTTCGCCGGTTTTTTGTCATTTGTTTTAAAGTCAAGGGTCACTGCAATCGTTAGGTTTCTAATTGTTATAATCTGTTATCAAATAAATGACAATAATTAATTATTATATAATTAACTCCATATTTGCTTATTACAGCGTTTTATAGATTACAAAAATAAAATACTTCTTATAAATTTAACCGTTGATTCAACATTTAATTATTACATTGATAAGGTTATCCTGATAATAGGTTAGCCATTAATAAATGGCTATATTGTTATGGCAATATTATATTCCGCCCTAATTAAAGCATACGACAAGTAAAAATTTTAAATTATTCACCAAATTATAAGCAATTGATAAAAATTGATAAAAATTGATAAAAATTGATAAAAATTTATAAGCAATTGATTATTTATTATGAGAATTCATTGATGAGTAAATTTATCCATTTATTTTGACGCTTATTATAACGAGAATTATTATCTGAGATTGAATTGAATTTTATTTTTGGCCGAATTATGATTGCATTCTCAATATATTTGCTGTTATTTGGCGTTCAAATGAGAAAATCTCAAATTTCGTGGCTATTAATCGAAAATATATTACACAATACAAGCCTATAAAAAGTGATTTTTTACGGACATATGTGACTTAGGAAAATGTTATATCACACCAATAAGATTTATATTAATTGAGTTTTAACAGCAATTATACTAACGAGAATACCTATATTACAATAATAGCTTTTTTGTGTCTATTAATACATTATAAACAATGTATTCTATATTCATATAATTGCCAAAATATGAATCTTGTTGAATGTAAATTCAAATGTAGTTTTTAATACACTCCACGCACGAAATTCACATAAATCTTATTTCCTAACCAAAAAGCCATTAAAATAATTGTATTTAGCATTTGGTGTTAGTTTTGTGAATATTTGTGACTATATTTGATTTATTTCCCAATTGTTATATAGGGAGCGGGCGATGCATTTATGGGTGCATTGGCTTACTATTTGGTATGCCATCCGAACCTTACAGTCCAGGAGCAGATGAAACGCTCCATATTTATAGCCACCAGATCTGTCCTAAAGCCGGGAACTCAGTCAAGTTATCCCGACAAACATCAATTGCCGGATCATCTTTTTAAATGAAACACTTTATTAAATATTTGTTTGTTTTTTAAAATAAAATTATAACTTTTTTATAAGATTATATATATTTTCATTTGTAAAACTATATTCAAATGTAATTATGTTTTATAAGAAAATTTTGAAGTTTTTTGCTACGTTTATTTTATTAAATTGTTAGCCAGTCACTTGAATGCAAACATAATTATATGATATTTCTTACACTGAAAATAATTTAATTTTGATATTTTACTGAAATTGAAGTTTTATTTATGAACTGCAAGTTTTCAAATTTAATTAAAATTTATAAAACGGTTCTGTAATGAAATGAGACACTTTTCTGTAATATTAAATAAAATATAAATATATAAGAAGTTTTTATTAAGGAAAAAATATATTCAAATAGTCACTAACATTATTTACTTAAATAAATTAAAATTCATTATTTATTTATTAATATTAAGAATTTTAATTATTATTCAATGAATGAAATAAAATTTAATTTTTATACTTTTGATGATAATGTTTTTTATGTTTTTATTTTGGCAGTTTTATTTTCTTATATTTAACGTTATGTTGAATCAAACTTATTATTATGTAAAGTAGATAATTGACAGATATATATTTTTTTGACTCCATATTCTGCACAATGCCATAGTATACACCAGGGATATATTCGACATTAGTTATATTGGCCATATAATATGGCAAAATAGTAGCATATAAAATATCTAGACATTACCAGTGTTATATTATACCAACCCAATCGGCTTAAGAATCAATTCCCATGATTACCCCTTACCCACATCACATTATTATTATATAGTGTTTTGTGCTTCAAAATATTCAAACTCTATATTCAAAATTAATTTTTTTACATGAGCAATTTTTACATGTACAATTAATATATCAACTATATTAATTTATAATAATTAATTAAATACTATGAATTGTAAATTACACTGTGTAATACATAATATTATTAATACTACATAATACTACTATATAAGAATATTCTTATAGTATAAACATTAAATAATACGAATAATTTTTAACCGTTGGATTTGAAAGAGAAAGTGACATTTTGAAAAATATTTGCCATCTACAATCTTGTTTGAATGATTTCATTAATAAATAATTACAGCAAATATCTGTCAATTCTACAATTGATTTATTTATTAAGTTATAAAATTGTTCTCTTTGATTGATGTATAAATAATTAATTTACTGGTTTGAATATTCATAATATGAATATGATTTTTTATATCATATACTAGTATACTATATGAAGTCAGTATTACTTACGAATCCCAAACATAGTGTCATTCAATTAGAGTAATTAATACAATTTGATCGTTTGTATGGCTTAATCAGAGATGTGTTCAATTCAATCAAATAAAGTGATAAGAAATTAAAGATTATATGTGTTGTAAATTCTTGAGTAAATACAACTGTAATAAGAAATCTCCGATTTATTGATTCATTGATCCTATAAGTCGTCTTATATTAAGACATCTCTGACTTTAGATAAAAATACAAATGACTTGTATTTTTGTAATGTAATGATTATCTCAATCGGAAAAGATGTTATCGTAAAATATAAATAAATCTGTTTTTCGCAATTATTTATTAGAAAAGACAATAAGTTAAATTAACTTTGAGTTAATATCACTAATATACTATAAGTCATATATAATGAGACAATTTTGGGGGTCGTCTCGCGCCGTATATACCGCGCAATTGTTACCGGAATTCGGTTCGATTTATAGCTTTTTTATTGAATTTCATGAATTGATCCCAATTTATGTCTTAATTACCAATTATATGGCAATGAATTTGTCTAAAAGACAAGTCATAGCAGAAAGAGTTGTGCATTTCTACGAGAATTTTGCGAATTTTTGTAAATCCAAAACTTGGAATCACTTCAAACTTGAAGGCGAGAAGAGGCCAACAATTTATCGCATTCTTAAGAACTATGAAACCACTGGAACTCATGTCTTCAAACCAAAGACTGGTAGAAAGCCTTCTGTATCGACGCCATCAGTGGTTAAGAAGATCACAAAGATGGTCACCAACACAAACATTTCGGAACAAGAAATCGCTAATAAATTAAAGATTAGCCAAAAAACGGTGAATAGAATTAAGTCGAAGAATGATATCAAAACCAGAAAATGTAAAACTGGTCCAAAATATTTAAAAGATCAGAAAAAGAGAGCCAAAACTAACTCCAGAAAGTTGTATCGAAAGTCAATTGGAAAAGTTTTGATTCTCGATGACGAGACATACGTCACGTGTGATCCAAAGAGCACCGGAGGAAACAGGTATTACAGCTATAAAGACGTCGATGAAGTTCCTGAAGATGTGATGTTTAAGACTAAAGACAAGTTCCCGGAACGTTATCTTGTGTGGCAATGTATGGATCAATTGGGGAACGTTTCCGAGCCATTTGTAAAGAAAGGAACTCTTAAGAAAGAAGAATATCTGGATGAGTGTATCACCAAAAGATTGATCCCATTTATAGACAAATATCACAGTAGGTCTGATGTGCTCTTCTGGCCAGATATGGCAACAATACACTACTCAGGAGTTGTCACACAAGCCTTAAACAACAATAACATTGCATTTGTACCCAAAGACCACAACCCACCGAACTGTCCACAGGCCAGACCTATTGAAAAGTTTTGGGCCATTTGTAAAAAAGCTTACTCTAAGACATCGATCACATCTAAAACAACCAAACAATTCACAAGAATTTGGAGAAAAGTTAGTTTTTCTGTCGCAGAAAAGAGTGCACAGACTTTGATGTCAAGTGTCCGCAGAGTTCTTAAAGATATCGGAACCAATGGGCCGTATCAACCAATTAGACATAAGAATTGATTCAATACTATACTATTTACATGTCCATCAAATTTTACTCAAATATCTCTATTCGTTATAATTTTACAATAAAATGAAAATTGTCTCACTATATATGACTTATAGTTAATTATATTTTAATTATATTTATATTTATATTTAATTATATATAAATTTTTATAAATCAATTAAAATGTTACATTAATTTATATGACACTCATTCATATCACGGATCAAAATTTATAAACAATGAAATATGAGTTTATAAAATATTTGTTTTACATCAAGAAAATATTTGTTTAATTTTAATGTTTAGTACTTAAATGAATTATGAAAAATGGAAATTTAAATCAATTAAATGACTAGTAATTTGTAATTCATAATCAAATGCTCATTTTTCTAAGAAGTTAGGGTTTTTGCACCAGTGCACTTTAGCTGCCACTCCATTGTTATCACAGTTTTTGGGCACAGTATGACACACGGCTCCACCAATAACTGAGTTGTTATTACTATTACTTTTACTACCGCTCGCCTTATTTCGGGTGCGACTCCCGGTCCCACTTTGGCTCGAGTTGACAGCACAGCATCCGTTCACATACAGTAAGAATGCGGCCCTAAATCTTGTCGACAAAACTGAATATATCTGCAAAATAATAAGAAATATACTTTCGGATAGACTAACGCTTAAAATAGTCAATTAATTTATATTCTCACCAATGGATTCAGCGAACTGTTCAGATAATACAGGCAGCCTATAAATAAATTAAGTGAGAAAAACCTTAAAAGTCTATTCAAATGATTTTCATTCATTGTAAATAGAAAGTAATTTTGTGAAAAATTGTCGATTTGTAAAACTAATCTAAAAGTGCAGTACATTGCAAACGTGTAGGCATTTAGAAAATAGTGTGTATTTCTGGAAATGTGTGTATATTTAGATGATATTAATTAGTGGATTACCTGCAGATAGGAAGAGCACTTGATTGACTTGTCTTAATGTGTTGGTCCAATTGGCGTATAGGCTGACATAGAGGAACAGTAGTCTTTGAGCGTGAAATGGACACCAGCAGAATGAGAAGACAATCACAATGCAAACTGTCGTTCAAATAAAAGACATGTATTTTGACATTCTCTACACACCATTCAATTCAAAGCAATTATTTCTATTTATAACTTAATTCTTGACGGTTTCAACAGAAAACACGTGAAAACATTGATAAATGTGATCAAAAATGTGTTAATAAATGATGAATTCAATGAATAAATTCGTGCCTAAAATTTAAAACGCTTTTTTTTATTGTGTGATGAAATTTAATGAAATCAATGAAAAGATTTGTATCTAAAAATTATATCTTTATTTATACAGATTCTGTAAACAATATTTGTTGTCAGAATATTTTATATTTTAAAGAATTCTTTTTTTCATTACTTTTTTTCAGTTCAAATCTTTTTAGTAATGAATGAAAGGCAATAAAAACAGTGTATTTTTCGTATTTATTTCTGACAAACATTTCTATGACTTTTGATTTTCTGATGAATTACTGAATTAAATTGTTTAATACAAATATTTATTTAAAATACAAAAATACCTCAAATTCATTCATTAAAAGTTGAATTTGAGTTGAAATTCATTCATTCTGTTTAGAATTTTGCAATATTTTAGTCATTCAAAAAATTAACAAATTGTTTTATTTTATTAATTTCCTTATACTGTATTGTAAAATAAATACATTCCTAAATAAACAAAGAATTTACATTTTATTAGATTTTTGACTTATTTTGTTACTCTTCTCAGAAAATACTGTATAATAAAGTACACTGGCTCTAAAAATAATGTTTCATTTATTTTTATCTTATATTGCTTAAGATTAAAATTTTCAGTTACCTTTAATTTCGTTAACATTTTTTATAAGCTATAATATAATCTACGACTAATAAAATTAAATTATTAAAAAATTAATTGAATATTTTTATTGGTTTAACTATTTAAAATTGATCATATTATTCAATTAACTATTACAATACTGAATTTACTAAAAATATTCATTTGGTTACTAAAATATACTCAATATTATAAATAGAAATTCCCAATACTATTAATAACGTTTTATGTGCTAAAGAAAATTGTATTGAAAAATTAATAATTTATTAGAATTAAATGAATCATTGTTTTATATTTGTGTAATAATATGTTATGTATTTTCAAATTATATGAATTAATATCCTATTTAGTTTTTGCTTTAATACGTCAATACTAAGCTTTTCCTATTGTTAACATAAACTCTAAAGGTTTCGACATAAATCTATAAATTTTTTGAATTTGAGCTTAAATTTGTTTTTACTTAAACAGAATTCTCAGATTACAATATTATAGACGATTCTTGAAGGTTTTACATATATTGGAAAATTTTGAAAATATGTATGAATGAATGGATGAATAAAAGCAAATCATATTTTACAAGGAAATCAAAGACTTTTGAATTTATGAAATTGTCACGAAATCAGAAATTATTCAAAATTTGAAATGAATTTTCTTTTTTGTTTAACTTTAACTAAGGATATTGAATCAGTTATGAGTTGTTTAACATTTTTACAAATAATAAAGATTGTAAGACTTGATTACATATAAATGTTATAATTAGTGTTAAAGTTGATGAGATGTGAGATGATAATTTAGAGGAAAATATAGTTTCCACCCCTTTCATGCATTCAATATTTATTAAATTATCAAATTAGTCTATTTATACTATAATAAATTCATGCTAAATGTTTTTGCATCCTTTATGGTTGTGTATTGAGTGAAAGAGTGAGATTGAATGAGTTGGTGAGTGAATGAATTCTTGGAGAGAGATCTTCAAGAATCGGAGAAATGTTTTAAAATGAAAAATCGATTCTTAAAAAATGAGAATTCTGTATTCTGTGATAAAACAGTTATGTTATATATAATATAATTTATTTCTGTCGTGTTTTCTATAGAAGACATCAAAAGTATTCATTAGAGATCGATATAATATATTAATATTGAAATATAAGTCCACAGCGATGTATAAGTTAATAGTGAGTCGCCTATCATTAATCGTTGAATTTCAATAGAGAATAAAGCATGCCATTAGTATACATATAGTATAAAGCATTTGAATAAAAATCAAGTCTTACAGTATTAACCAAATATTAATAGTATATTAGGTTTAAAAATAGTAGGTCTGTAAGTATAATAACTTATAAATGAGTATTTATTTGAAATGCTATTTTATATCAGGTTAAAATCTTTTAAATAATAAATAGAATTTCTATATTTGTTGTCTAAACTTCAAGTTACATTACATTTGAAAGTTAATTCCGTTTAAAAGTTTCAATGATTAATAATTTACCAGTTATTCAGTTTTCATTTGTCAGATTAAATAGCCTATGATTAAACAAATAACTCAAACTGATAAACAAATTAAACCAGTGATCATTAGTAAATATTTTATTTATTTACAAGTCACTAAAACTAATTAATAATTCTGTTTAAATCAAAATCTAATAAATACTGGTTTTCTGTTTATATTACAACTAAAATAATAAAGAATATGCTAATAAAATTATACAAATATTATTTACTTGTGTTTGTTTATATTTGATGTGATTATAATTTAAATGCAAACAAAGCCATATGTAAGGCTTATAATTAGAGACAATTTAATTGGAAATAATGGGGAAAACAAAAACACTTTTCTGGCGATTAGTCTATTATAATGCATGACATGATAGCCAACCGGACAAAACAACAATAAAAGCGTTTATTTCGCAAGATTTGTATTCAATTCATTAAATTAAAATCAATAGATTTATATTTATAGTAAATTTTTATTAAAGCAAGTCCTAAAAGATATTTGTGACCACAAAATGAGATCAATAAAAGGAAGTCATTGTTTTGTAACCTGGGATTAAATACGATAATCTGCGAAACTATTACACGACAACTAATTCCGATATAAAATCTAAAGATTTATATTGGATTTGGACATGAAATAAGTGAGGAGGAAGATCCGACTTAATAAGTTTGGGCATTGAATCATAGCTTATATTGTGTAATAAAGGGAGCGTAAATTGGTACTAGGGCAAAAACGCCTGTTCCGTAAGCCTTACCCAGCATTCTGATGACAATTTTTCTGGACTGCATTATCTTGCGAGACGTCCTCTGATCCGCTAAATGCAGGTCCGGATGATTGAGAGGATCGAGTTTTGTGGCCTTTTTTAGTTTTCTGGCGATTCGGTAGTAAAGCAGAGATATGATGGTCAGAGGGATGAGAAAGAATATGACGGTCGAGGAAAGCATAATCGTCTCCCAGTGCAGACTCGGCTGATTGAACGGCAGTCCACACCACGCGCTCTCTTTCAATGGCTTAGAGTCGAGGAATAGATAATTAATTTGTGTGAACAAAGCCAGAGGTGTGGCACCGATCAGCGAAAACAACCAAATGATCACTATATTTCTGATGGCAATCCTCTTAATACGAGTCGATGTGTTAGTGTTGAACATTGACTGAGAGTTGGGTACTTTAGGTGAACCACATATAGCCATATATCGCTCTAATGTAAACGTTACTGAAATGCCGATTCAAATCCATTGAGACATTATTGAGCGCCAAATAGTAGGACACGGATTCACTTCTTACCTAATGTTAGCACTGATGCGTTGGCTGTACTTTCAGGGACTAGTGATTTGAGGCGACAAATGGCCAAACCAAGAGAAAAGGGATACTGGTGCCATAGGGTGTACAGCTCTAATGGCATTCCTATTCAATTACATAAACACAATACAATACTATAATTCTTGTCTCACATTTTGTCGTAAAAATTGTGTTATTCTGTGATAAATGTTTTGGAAAATGTTTTGTAATTTTTTCTATACAAACGAAAGCATTTGAATTGAAAGGAATTGTTTTCATTTGATTTGAATAATTGAATTAAACTCTAAAAGTCTATAGAAATGGAAATTAAGGCAAAAACTGAGAGCGAAAGAAAAAGAAAAGCAAAGAAAAATAAAATGAATGAATAAAATGATGAAAGAAAGCACTTTAAAAGTTTTCTCTCAATACTAAAACAATTTCATATGAGAATGAGTTTCAATATATGGATAAAAGTATAAGTTGTTTCAGATTCTCAGAATTTATGCCACATTTGGGTCAGTTATGTCGTGAATTCGTGGAGAGAGAGAGAGAGAGAGAGAGAGAGAGAGAGACTCAGAGATGTATTAGTTGTAATAGTGAGACATACTTTGAACAATTCTTTAGTACGAATCTGTTTTGTTGATCTAAAATGCATTTATTGTATATATCTAATGTGATAAATAGTGATTCCAGTGATTCTAACCAATACTCTCTAGAATTGATATGAATAGAGGCATAGCGTACGAAACATACATAAAATGCTGTTCGCATGGATTAAGTTAATGATAGTCATGAGAAGTGATGATATCGTAGAATCCATTTTTGAATGTTTGTATAAAACACTTCTTTAATAGAAACCTAACTCTGAGTCTAAGTCCTACCACTCATTAGTTAACAAATACATGATATGTTTGAAATTTGTTGTTTTCCACTAAAAGCTTGAAATAAAATAAATTAAATGAAAAACTTTTACGGAATCTTAATTTCTCTATAACAAGGATGTAAACGAAACGTGAATAAAAATAAATAAAACACATTATACACGAGAAATAAATAAATGTATTATGTTTTTAATTAAGAATTCAATTAGAAATAATCCAATACTAAGACTTACCACATATTAACGTAATTAAGTCAGTGATGGCAAGATTACATAAATATAAGTTAGTTATTGTCTGCATATATCTGAACCGAAGTATAACTAGGATTGTGATGACATTCCCCAGAACTCCGATTATTAATATAATTATATATACCACTGTTAACGGTATTAACCACGAGAGAGACAGTGATCTCTGTGGCCCTAAAATCGTTTCGATGTATTGTAGGCTTTCCGTCCGATTCATTATTATATCACTTTCCTCTTCTCTCCAAAAATAATTTGTTTTCAATTAAATGCAATTAATAATTAAGACATCAAACGGAAAGCAAAACAACATTTTGACCATTTGCCAGAATATTTATATAATTATTTAAGTGGTTATATATTTTTACTTCATTTTCACGTCTCTTTTCTCGCAGTCATCAATGGTTTATAAAAAGATTTTTTAGGCTTTTGAGAAAAAGTCATTCAAAATGTATTTCTATTTGTCCCACATTTACACTTATTATGAATACTTTCTTACAATTTGGCTGCAATTCAATAAATAGCGGCACAACTGTCACACGAATTGATTTTTATGAATGTAAATATTTCTTATCAATATATTATGCAATAATTACATCACATTGAATACATAAACACAGACAACAAAGTTTAGCATTTAAATTGAACATTTAAGAAAATAAGTATCGCTATTAACGGTACCACAAAATATTGTCAAATTTGATTACAAAATACAGTGTAGGAAACAGTTTGAAAACATACAAAAAACAATAAGTATTGAAGTGAGAGTTAAATAGAAATAGAAATGATTGCGAGTTTAGACAACTATTTAATGGGAATAAGAAAACAGCGAAAGAGAGTATAATTGAAGTAACTTTTACTTTTTGATATAAAGCTGATATAATAAGTGATAAAATTGTTGTGAATCCCAACTATTTAGTGAAAGTTAGGCCGACCTGCGCTCACTCGCATGTATGCCTGACACACAAGGGCTCACACACTCATACACTCGCACACACTCTCAGTGCCACAGAATTTACGATTCAATACAACTTTGCTATTAAGTCGTCAATACAGCAGATTCTGGTACTTGTATTCACAGCACATATGAATTGTAATGCACTCTATGTGTGCGTAGGAGTTATTATTGTACCCATCAACAACTAACTTTTCATAAACTATTTTATATAATTAGGGTTATATGTATAGAAATAAATGAATTAAATTCTTAAGTTTTTCATTCACAAAATAAGTGTTTGTTTAGTTTGATGTCAATAATATAGCACAGCAACTGTGAATAACAACAAAATTGGGACATAATTTCTAAATCTTTTAGTACAGTACTTATGTTATGTTAATAAACAGTTTGTGATTTAATATATCAGCTAATAATACTGTAATTACAATTTGCAGTATAAAAACAAAAAACAATTCTTTAATCCCGTGTTTATTCAAACTCAATGCCATACAAAATGCTTTAATTAGTTTACCTATATAGATTCCAAATATTTAATGTAATTCTTGGTTGTATTAATATTAAGTTGTTTTTGCTTAATGTTACATAAAATACATTTTTTAACATGCATGAATAAAATACATATTCAATGGTAATTCAAATTTAAAGAGTTTATAATCATTATTAGGAACATTCAGTAGTATAAATATCAGCACATAGTTATGAATATATTAAAGTAATTACCAAGGTAAAAAGGTCAGCCAATAAATAGTGAATACATACATAATAGACAAATCCTGTAATTTGTATTAAATCACATGTTATTTATGACTTTTGTTTAGTTTGATGTCAATAATATAGCACAGCAACTGTGAATAACAACAAAATTGGGACATAATTTCTAAATCTTTTAGTACAGTACTTATGTTATGTTAATAAACAGTTTGTGATTTAATATATGAGCTAATAATACTGTAATTGCAATTTGCAGTATAAAAACAAAAAACAATTCTTTAATCCCGTGTTTATTCAAACTCAATGCCATACAAAATGCTTTAATTATTTTACCTATATAGATTCCAAATATTTAATGTAATTCTTGGTTGTATTCATATTAAGTTGTTTTTGCTTAATGTTACATAAAATACATTTTTTAACATGCATGAATCAAATACATATTAAATGGTAATTCAAATTTAAAGAGTTTATAATCATTATTAGGAACATTCAGTAGTATCAATATCAGCACATAGTTATGAATATATTAAAGTAATTACCAAGGTAAAAAGGTCAGCCAATAAATAGTGAATACATACATAATAGACAAATCCTGTAATTTGTATTAAATCACATGTTATTTATGACATTAAAAAACATTAATAAATGTTTAGATAATAAGTTATGTATCTTGAAATAGATTTAATGTATAATATATGATACTCACATCTAATATTAAACTCGCATTAAAGATCATTGTAAACTGATAACTCTTGGTAACTGTGAGTGCATTAATGTATTTGTTTTTCTAAAAAATTGTGTTTTGCATTACTTTTAAGTCAAAATAATTTTATGTTTTAGATCTGTGTACTACAGAATAACTACAATATAATTTGGATTAAAATATTCGCCTTCTATATATTCTTGAGTAATATTAATGAAAATTTAAATTCAGACCCTATTTCACTTTAAGAGCATTAAATTTTCATGCCTTACTTTGTATTGTCGTGTAATCCTTTTGTAAGGCTATAATTAAATGCCTTTCTTTTTAAATTATATCGATTTTATTAACTCTTTTAGACAAATAGAGAAAATAATAATTTAATTAACTCGAGAACACGAGTAGAGATTAGAGAGAGATTGACAAATAGTGTACTTCGGAAACAAAAAAGATGTTCACGTCTAGGACTCACAGAAAGTTACTTTTCATATAACATATAAAATATGGGGTGAAGAGGACAGGCTATAAATCATATAGAATGAGATCAAATCCACTATTTTTAGATTTTTTTTGTTGTACTCAACGTTCAAAAAAATTAAAAGATATTTCGTTTGAAAAACATAACATTTTGTAATCTCTCGAAATTTATACAAATTGCGCCAAATTCACCATGGTTTATATCAAAAGTATCTTACTTTACCATAAATATTTAGCAATTAAATTTCAGTATTTTCATGTCCAGATAAATTGGTTTCATTTTACGGATTATATTTTGATCCACTTTTATGTTGAATTATTTTAGATATGATGAAAGAGACCATCAGATTCTGGGAATTCGTTGCCTATATTTAATTGCAGTCTAGATTCAGATTCAAAAAACATTGATTTTATGGTTAGTCATAGGAATGGAGTTCTAGGAAAGAAAACCACATCTTTTACCCAAATAACAACAAAAACAGTTTATTTATTATGTTTTGTCTGATAGAAAGCAAAAATTATAGTACTGTTGTAGTACTGTATTTGAATAAACACCTGAAAATACATGAAATCGATTTTCGTTGGGAAATATCACACAATCATTGTTTGGTGGTATTCTTCCGTGAAATGCAAAATCCATAACATTTTTGGAGAAATAAAAGATTAGAAATTATTTTATAAGAGTTGCAAACATTGATAACAAATGTAATTCAATTCACTGTTTAGGCTAAACGCCTGAAAACATATCACAAATAGCTATACTTATAATATTGTATATAATTCTCATTTTATTAGAATATTCTGTATTGTGATCTCAATCTGCAGTCATTCGTATGAATCGACAAACAGAAGACCTCATTATCTTCAATGAAATACAGATATAAATGAATAAAATATACAAAGAAGACAAGACTATCCTCACAATTGATCCGTTGAGACCTTTGATATTTGTTTCGTTTTTTGAGTTTTATTTATTTATTAGCTTTTTATTTCGTTTTATCAATTATTTATTTATTTCATTATTTTTTATTACATAAGAATTGGTGAATCGGTTTGAGTTCCAAAAATAGTTCACCAAATTTTATTGTACCTATTACCAAATATCATTAAGATAAGTTTTCCTATGGATTGTGATCCCAATACTATACTTATATTAAAATTAAATTCAATTTTCAAGAAATTTGTGAATAAAATTGGATCTCATTTTCTAGACGTCTATAGAATTTTGTTTAATTAACATTTTTTGGATTCTTTGCTCAAAATATGAAATAATATATGAAAACTCATAAATCAATAGTAATTCACAAATCATATTATTATAATATACTATATTATAAATTACTATAATAAAAAGTATATTTAATAAGTTTATAAGTTATTTGTAGAGTACTTATAAGTTTTCGATTAGAGTATACATCGTATTGTAATTACAGTTTTATATCACAAACAAAAATCATTATTAGTGTGAAATGTGCATGACTTAAATTAAAAACTTAATAGATTTCCAGTTTGTCTAAAGTGATGAGTTTGTTTATGACATAACTCTATATAACGACATCTTAATTAATAATTAGAGAAAAGAGTTTATAAGGACGTGATGTCTCAAGACTTTAATCATCACTTAATTGATGGAAAATAAACTGCTTTTAAAAGGAAACGGTGGGTGCGATTTGCACTGTAATAAAATAGTGACAAATAAATAGGCCTATCTCTTGAGACTAACAATGACACACAATACAAATTGAATAATAAAAGTTGGCAATTGATAGCCAAAAAAGCATAAATACTATAATTCTTTATCAATAATCAATGGATTCACTACTTAAGTACAATACACTTTAGGCTAGAATATAAGTATATTATACTGAAAATCATATGCAAGCTATATCATAGATTATGAATCATAATTTATGATATACAACAGAACAACTAGACTAACCAGTAATCTATAAGATTAATTTAAAAATAAATTTAAAATTTAGAGAACTTTAAAGCTAACCGATCTATAATTGGTTTAACAAAAACTATATAACCGAATTATGACAATCAAATTATTATATCATTTTATACTAATATGACATATATCGGTGACGTAATCAGATTAATGTATTACTAATACTGTATTAGTATCTTAGCATCGTTTGTAAGAATAAGTTTTGTGTGAATAGGAAATTCTTGGAATATAATGAAACCGGGATTGCATTCATCCACAACAGTAATTATTGCATTTTATCACTATATTTGCTGTAATAAATATAATTGACTTTTAAATCTTGGAACTACAGTAAAGAACAGTTAGAATATGTTTATAGGTTTAACTTCCACCGTAATTGCAAACAGTATCATAACTATCATAAATTATCTCTTGCTTTAATGGTTAAGAATATCATTAATATCAATAAGTTATGGCATAGTTTCCGTTGAAATAGTTTACAAAACAACAATAAATTAATAAAATTTTAATTTAATAAATACTTTTCAAGATTACAATTGGTTAATAAAAACATATATTTAATCTCTGTTGACATAATTAATTAAACAAATAT